GAGAAAAACTCCAGGAAAATGGGGGCCCCCAAAATCTTTTCTCCCCCTTTTTTTTTTTTTTTGGGGGTTCCGTGTGGGGGGGTACAATGGGGGAAATTTCCCCCTGGGGCCCGGGGGATTTTCGGGTTGGGAAAAAAAGTTTCCCCTGCTTCGCTGGACCCCCCCTCCCCCTTCCCCCATCCCCCATAAAAGGCCCCGGGGGGGGGGGGGGGCGCCCTTCTTCCAGGGGGCCAACACCCCCGGCGGGGGGGGGGCCAAACTCCAAAAAAAGGTTTTGGTGGAAAGCCCCACACAACCGCCCCCGGTTTTTTTCCCAGGGGGAAAGGGGGGGGGGGGGGGGGGGGTGGACATGCCGTGTAACCCATTCGCACATGATGCGAATATTTCTTGCCCTGTGTCGGTATGCCCCCCCAGCGCGCGCTCACCCACAAACACGACCCGCCGGAAGTGTGTTGCATGGGATGGGGGGGGAGGGGGGGGACACGCCTCCAAAGTAAGCCGGTTTTTGTTTGTTGCGCACTAGTTCTGGAGCCGCTTCAAGTCGGAGGACCGCCTTCGCGAGATGACTAAGTTTATCAGGAAAGAGAACAGGGAGGGCGGAACGCAGACCCTACTCCCCTAACCGTATCCCAACTTCCCAGATTGTATGTTGCATGCGACATGTTAGCTTGATGGAAAAACCCTGCAAAGGCTACTCGAGTCGGAACCACAATATGCCGTCTCTGTGTTTTGTTGGTATTGCCGCCAGGCAAAGTAAAAGTATGGGCACCTTCCCACCGACACGGGCGGTGCGCCGTGAGATATGATGTAGTCCTTATCCTTCTCCGAATCTATCTCCCGTCACCTCTGCCGCGCTTCCCCACGACCCTAACCCTGTGAAGCAACCTGGAGATGCTCGCCATATCGTTTTTAACTACAGTAGTGGGCCCTGTATAGTGCCTGTCGAATAGTGCATGCAGGGTGCCGGTGTACTGCCGGTGTTTTCGGCTCGCACGCACTGAAAATACCAAGTCGTTCTGTGCTTCGAATTGTGCCGGTGGTCGGCATAGTGCCGGTAAATATCTCGGGACGCGTACCGGCGCTATGCAAGGCTCACTACTGCTGTTCTAACTCGATGATCCATCCCTTGCACCTGGAATGATGGGACAGCTGTGGGAGGCAAGCGGGGCCAGCGCGAGGATGGTTCTCCTCGGAAAGTTTGCCCAGGACTGCGAGGGAAGAGGAAGCCTTTACCAGAAAACCAAGTTCCGTTACGGCCTGTACGAGTTCGCTCTCTTAAGGTATGTGGTGTGTTTGTTCGTTGGGCTGAGCGAGGTTGTGTTATACCGTGGCATATTGGCGCTTGTGGAATGGCACCAAAGTAACTTGTTCGAGTTCGCTCTACGGAGGTGTGTTGCGTGTTCGTTGGACTGGGCGAGGTTGTGTTAAATGACGTGTTGGGCGCTTGTGGAATGCCACATAGGAGATGTGCAAGCTTTGCGCGTTTTTGACGCGCTCGAGGTGTGTTGATTGGATTGATTATGGCTTTGCTTCGATTCTGCACCGAAAAAGCATCTCGACAACATCGCTTTCGTTGCGTAGCCTGTCTAGTCTTTCCTGTTGCGCCTACTAAGCGTTTGGTTAGTTGTACCTGTCCATGGTTTCAGGTGCCGTCGTGGACCCTGTATTGGTCGGTATAGCCGTTGTTGTTGTTGTTGTTGTTGTCTTCACATTATGGCCGTTCCGGACTCCGCCCAGTACCTTCTAAAATTCTCATATCCGTATTGGCCCAACTGACGTGTAGGGTGGGTGAAATCTCTCGGCACGGATAGAACATGTTTAGTAACCTTCTCTATGGTAACCGACAGCATAGATAGGCCAGGGAAAACATTTTTGAGCCACCTTGGGAAGGAACGATTGACCATTGGTGTTCGGTCCTGTGGGAACAATGCCTCGTCCTCTCGAGGGTGCAGGTCTAAGCGCTAAGGCATGCAAAACATGAGCATGCCCCCCTCCCGGCTCCTGACCCGATGAGAACCCGGCGTGCTCCGTCCCGGCGTGCTCCGTCCCGGCTTTGTAGGGATGCGAGGTCAATGGTCTAACGACTACGGCATGCACGGCTATGAGTAACCCCCCCCCCCCCCGTAGAACTAGAAAAGGAGTTCACTGAGGACGAGGTTGAGGCGTGTGTGAACAAGCTGCAGTGCCACAAAGCAGCAGGGGCGGATGGGATAGTAAACGAGTTCATGAAGTTTGGGGGGAAGGGGATGATCCAGCTGATGGTACTGCTGTACAACTGGGTGTGGAAAAACGAGTATGCGCCAAGTAGATGGAGGGAAGGAGTGGTTGTGAACCTGTTTAAGAAAGGAGACAAGACTGACCCAGGAAACTACAGGGGTATCACACTGTTGAACACAGTAGGAAAAGTGTTTTGTAAGCTGCTGAACAATAGGATAGTGGGAGTATTGGAGAAGAAACGTAGCATTAGTGAGGGCCAGGCAGGTTTCCGACAGAAGAGGGGGTGCGTAGACCACGCATTCACGGTAGGGAGAATCATCCAAGGTAGAAAGAGGGCGGGAAAGCGGACGTACTGCTTCTTCCTGGACGTGAAAAAGGCATACGATACCGTATGGAGAAATGGGCTGTGGAAACAATTGTCCAAGTACGGGATCAAGGGGAAAATGTGGAGGGTGCTGAAGAAGATGACAGAGTGTACGAAAAACGCGGTCATGCTAGACGGAGAACTGTCTAAATTCTTCGACATTGAGCAAGGGGTCCCACAAGGTTGCACGCTGTCCCCAACATTGTTCCAGGTGTTCATCAACGATCTGTTGGAAGTCGTAGAAGCAGTCCGGAAGGGAGTAAAAGTAGGGGACACGGAAACTTCGGTGTCAGGAATGCTGTTTGCGGATGACTTTGTTGGTATGTCGGACACCCCTGAGGGACTGCAACTGCAAATTGACGCGGCGAAGAAGTTTACTGATAAGTGGAGATTGTCTGCCAACGTTGCGAAGAGTGCCGTCATGGTATGCAACGAGGGCAGGGAGGAACCAGTAGAACATAGATGGAAGTGGGGGATCGAGGAGATTGCAGTAGTGGACCAGTACACATACCTCGGAGTAGAGATCGCAAAAGATTGCTCGTGGAATGCACACATGTCCAAGGTAGCGGAAAAGGGCAAAGCACGAGCAGGGAAGCTGCACCCAATACTCGCAAACCGGCACCTTGATACATGCATCAAACTGACGGTTTTGAAGAGCGTAATCGTACCACCGCTAGAGTACGCCGGAGAAGTATGGGAAGGAAATAAGAAGGTAGTGAAATAACTCGAGGCGGAGTAGATGAAAGCAGCGAAAATCATCCTAGGATGCTCCAAGCGCACAAGTAATGCAGCAGTCAGGGCAGAATTGGGGATCCAATCCCTACGGTCGGGAAGAGACGTAAGGAAGCTGACATGGCAGTATCGCATGTGCGGGATGGGAGAGGAGAGGTTGCCGAGAATAGTATGGGAGGCGAAGTGGGCAAACAAAAAGAGGGGTAGACAACCCACGGAATGGGTCAAGGTTGTAGAGGACGTATGGAAGGGATTGGACATCGACGAAGATGAAACGCTGGAAACGGAGGGTCTACAGGGGTT